TTGAAGGTCAATCCGTGCATTGAACTTATTAGCAATACAACATGCGCTATTGTAACATGGTGATAGGAATTTGAGTTACCACTAGGTAGAGATCTCTTGTGTGATCTTGCTCTCAAGCAGAACTTGGAACCATCCCAGAATGAGTCGGATGACTCTGATGTGGACTTTATTCTAACTTTTCCTTTAGATTCTGTTCAGTTGCCAGTTGGTAGACGAGCTGCAACTCCGGCAGGCGCCCAGTCTCAAGGTAAAGTGGAAATCGAACTTACTGTCCAATTCGAAAGTGATAGTGCAGCTACTTCTTCTGGACACCGTCGCTCTAAGTGCTTACAAGAAAAGAGAGAATCTAGGACGTGTGGTACTGGTGCTGTGGCTTAACTTAAGTTTTATCAACTTTTCTTACTTTAACCTATGATTCTAGTTGTACTAAACTATTAACATTATGAAGCGTTACTGATTTGCTGTGGATAAAGGTTACCTGATTTGCAGCGTCAGGCAGATCAGCAACCTTTTTGCCATAGTTTTGCTACCTTATTTTTTATTATTGTTTCAAATTTGGCTGCAGTTTTCATAGTTTTCGCGTTTTGAAAATGTCTAACCAAATGAATGTACTTTTGTTTGGTCACTCGTTTCCCGTTAGGCTTGAGAGGGAAAGCCGTAGGAACCATTTAACGCCTTGTTCGTATATTATGATGAGTCGAAGATACATTTTATCCATAGAAGGGTTTTCTGGTCTCACCTACGATAAGGTGTTAACTTATCCTGATTGGTATTTGCACAACCGTAAGTCACAGGTAGTAGATATTCTCTGTGTTGATTTAGGGACTAACGAGTTATGCGATACCAACATAACACCAACTGTTCTCCTTGATAAGGTAATCTATATTCCCAGCCTCTTGGAGTCCGTAGGCATTGTTCCTCGTCATATTATGCATTATTCAGTCATACAAAGAAGCGTAATTACAAGACAAGGGCAGGTTCGAATGACCAGCGTCCGTCATAGAGCCAGCCGTTTCAATGAATTATTGGGTAGGCACTTCTGCGAAATACCAAGTGTACATGTGTATTAACAAAGAAGGATCAATTCCCCCAAATACTTGTCGGATGGGTGCCATCTGAATGAGGGAGGTACTGTCAAATATGCGGTTGGAATCAAGGAAGCTGTGATTCACTTTGCATCTCGTTAGTGCAAACCTTTGATGCTGGATTTGTGAGTGGACTGTATCACATTAGTACATTCTAAGAAGTGTAACAGTAC